TAAATAATAATTTTACATTAAAATATTAACAGATGTTCTTTGACTTCTTTGGTAAACGTAGTGTTAATTATATTTATGACATCGAACTTAATTATAGAATCCATTTAAGTAAACATCGATGCAGAGACGTGAGTTTAAATGAATAACCTTACACTAACCAATTATTTAGTATCAGTAGGAGTTATTTACTAGTGGTAAAATATTATATGTATAATTAATTTCTTCTAATAGGATAATTTCAAAATATCATTTCTAATATTAGAAGCATTATATTACAAGGAAATAATCAACTTTTGTTCAACTTCCACAAAATATATGTAAAGACAAAACTCATTTTGCTTAGCTGGGATCGCGTTTTAGTCCACATAGTATTCAAAGTGCTGAATAAGTAATACGTTTCGAAAAGTTTAACTATTTTCAAAATGTGTACCGAATCAAACTGTTTCCGGTTTATGAAAATATTTTCATTAAAAACGTCCGGCTTTTTTTTTTAAAGCGACACTTACATCTCTCGAAATCGATAATCGAGTCAAAGGTTCAGAAGCCACTGCTTCCGATCGACAAAAGCGAGACAACACAGACACACATATTTACTTATGATTCGTTGCTACATACACTGTATAAATCACAAATGTGGGCGGATGAGTTAAGACCATGTGAAATGAGCTTAATGCAAGTACGACGAGGCCTTTCAGAGAACATAGACTTTTGCGGACCTGCGCAGCTAAATCCTCGTTCGTTAGATCAGACACTTAAAAGTTCCGTTTTGCGAGGTGCGTGAAAATCTGAGCAGCGTGCGTTAAACGTCAATATACAGGGTGTTCCGCATTTTTCCTTGCATGCTTCGGCAGTGTGTTCTACATGTAAAAATAAGATTAAAATGTTGTATAACAAGAAGTCAATGCTTCATTGAGAAGTTATGAAGTTGAGAAGTTGAGAAATGTGAAAGGTATGATAACGCGCGCGCTACTGTATAGTCCTCACGCGACAAGAACGGCACCTTTGCGTTTACATTCCCCCTCTTACTAGCTGCCCCACTGCCGCAGCTGGTAAGAGGGGGAATGTAGGTGCCGAGGTAATGCAGAAGTGCAGTCTTGTCGCGTGAGGACTATGCAAGAGACGAATTAATTACAAAATTCAACATCGCCTGCGAAATAGCAACCGACTGAATTCAATAATTCGTCGATGTCAAGATTACGTCAAGGCTGGCGTCATTTTGACATAGACATATTTTCCATTTTTCTCATAAATTCCTAACAAAGCATTTATGGACTTTTTGTTATATAATATTTCAGTTTTATTTTTACTTGTAGAACCCACTGCCGAAGTATGTATGGAAAAATGCGGGACTTCCTGTGTATTGAAAAATCATACTTTTATAGAACATGACAAAGAAAATGAGTTGACATTGCCGTACAATGATCCTGATAATTACGATATCTGTATGATTTCAATCAATTGATTGTCAGAGAAAAATTATGCAGTATAGTCGCACAGCTATATTCTCATGCAATAAATAATTTCTCTTTCATTTGCGTCTGTGTAATATATTTGCGTATGATAAACACGTAGTGTATGTAAACAAAACACTCAACTCTCTTCTATATTCCAAACAACTTCTGTTCGAAACATCTATTTATGCATGTAGTTTACAAGAAAAATTGAGATGAAACAGTGAAATAACTCTCCCTCTAAAAAGTTATTATATATTATTATTTCGTTCACAAAAGAATTAGTACAATCGTCTTCCAGCTAGATGTTAGTTAACGAATATTCAAGGAAAGAAGCGCAAGCAAACAATTGGGTCAGTGCAAAAGTTCGTGCCTGTTGTCAAAAGATATCGCGAAATTATTTATTTGTAAAAAAGTACGTATTGTTGTACTTGCAGACATCGCAAGAAGTACGATATTTCATTGTTACCTCGACGTTAAACTTTTGTGTTCCGGAAGTTTGATCGTTGTAGTGCATTACGAATTCCAGAAAGGTGTAACAGTGGACATTGACTTAAATAAGATTCAGGAGATTTACCAAAACCGTAAAACAACTCTTGGTACAGAGTGTACATAATTCGCAAAATTCAGACATCGTGATTTTCAATTAGACGTTGTGCCACGGTCAAGCCGATTTTCTGCGACAGATAATGACATTGGGCTTAATCGATCGCAACTACTGCGCGTCAAGAAAAATGCACGGTTATTTAAGAAAATAACAACCGAATTTACTAAGTAGATCTATAATACCAATAAAATGTTCAATTACAGGTTAAACTTTGCTTTAGGGGACCAAATTTTTGCGACTTTTTATGGTATATTCTTGGAGACATTGACGAGAAAACATCAAAAATACACGTTTCGATGTGCGGAACTCATTGGTTCAAAAGTTACAAGTATCTAAAGTTAACGAATTTTTAATACTAATGTCATGATCTTCATAGCTTGATTCTACACTTTCGGATCGGTGAAGATCTATTAAAAAAGTCGACCGCAAAATTTACCTTGACTGGTTCTTTCAATATTAACTTTTTTCTGATTGCATTGCATTCTACTCATTGAGAAGATAAAATGTCCCAAAGGAACCACGTGTCAGAAATGACTCATCACATGGTTCTTTTGGGACGAGTTGAATACGATGCAATCGTAAAAAAATTTGACCTCGAAGAAAACCGGTCAAGATCAATTTCACGGTCGACTTTTTTAACAGATCTTCACCGATCCGAAAGTGTGGAATTTGGCTACGAAGGTCACGACGTATAATTTCTTGACACCCTGTACAGTTTCTTAACTTTTGTCGGTGAATGTATGTATTCACCAAATTTCCTTGGCCAGACAAATAAATGAATAAATAGTAATAATAAAGAAATATCGAACCTCGACACGCGTGGGTTCCATTAAACAAATGATATAGCGACGTCCATTGAACTCGAGCACGAACGTTTGCACTGACCCAGCAGAGGCTGTCGGTTTTTTTGTTGCAAGTGACAAATGAAACGAAGATAAAAAAGTCCTCTTACCAGGAGACCGGCCAGAAGAACCAGACAAATGAAAGCAACCACGGAGACCACAACGACTGCTATCGCATTTCCGGAATCCTGGATCGTTTCCTGTACCAGAAGAAAGCTGTGTATCTGAAAAGAGTGGGTCAAGCGGCGGCATACGTTAACTATGTTATATGAATCGATAATTCATCTAATATTGATATCTGCTCACAAACGAACACTACATCATTTTTTGTATCGACAAAAATTGTTACATAAACATAAATAATTATGGATAGTAATTCTCAAGGAAATGCTAACTAAAAAGAAAAGTGTAAAAATTGATCGAATTTGAGATGCGTTGAAAGTGATTATTCTTAACGATAAATAATTTAAAAATTCGATGATGAGATGTTAGTACAGGTTCCAATTCTTCAATTATTATTAAATATTCTGATCGTTCAATTATTACTAGGTGTTCTAATTATTCAATTATTACTAAATATTCTAAGTCTTCAATGGTTCACTTGTTACTACAATATATTCTGATCATTTAATTATTCAAGTATTAGACCTATTTTTAACATATATTTCATGACACCATGTTACTTCGAAAATTACATAACATAAGAAACTATTAATTAAATTCAGTAAAATTATTAAATTCACTTGTATATTTCACTTGAAATAAGAAAATGTTAACGATTTCATTTAATAAATGCTACATATAATGATAAGCTCTCTGGAGAATAATTGAATGCGTATTACGAAAATTAGTTAAATAGAATAGACGTCAACAATATTCATTACAAATCGTTTCCTGTTATACAGGTACAATAAAACTTTTATACTTAGTTTTACGTCGATTCCTATGATCACATTAGCGAGTTTAGTAATTACGGACTCTAAAGCTGTTCAATTTGATTTCGTAATGCGAGAGTATTATTACCAACCTACAATTTCTAGCGTCACGTTTGTTTTCCTAATCATACGGTCACTAAACAGCATTATCCCTTCGTGCAACAAGCTTGTTTTCCTTAATTATTATTTCGCTCTCTGTATTAGAAAGTGTGGCAATCCATATGCTAATTGTCACTAATTAACTTTGAAACAGTGAATCGTACAATCAAATGATATTTATCTCGTACTCATCGAATATTACCATTATTTGTTGAAAAATTTTATTTTTGTATAATTAACTATGATTGCACCCTCAATGAATTTAAATAAAGACATTACTATACTACACTAGATATAAAATTAAATTACTTGAAAGGATTCGTCTTATTGTAGAAATATTTACTCAGAAATTAATTTCGTTATGATATTTTGAGATCATCAAT